GGAAAGAGAGAGAGAGAGAGAGAGGGAAAGAAAACATATGGCTGGCAAGCCACTCCCACCAGGTCACATGGCTGGCAAGCCACTCCCACAAAGGAGGCCACACCCACAGAGTAGATTCCAAAAACTTTTGAAACCCACCACTGCAGGGTGGGCATGTTTCACCTACCAGGGAAATCAACCCAGTTGTCAGTAGGAGAGAAGACTGAAGCCAAGGGGAATGAAAAACTTGCCCAATCCAGATCTAGTGGCTGGACCCAGCAATGATAGCAGAGTATGCTATTTTTATCTTTTATTGCTGTTCATAAATAACTCAAGGAGGCAAACATGCCAATACTTGTTCCTCCTCTTGTTTTCCCCACAGTAACTACTTCCTGAGGTGTCCCAAAGGTGTTTTTTTAGGAGGCAACTGGACTTTCTTGTTTTTTTCTTTGAAGACTTTTGCTTCTCACCCAAGAAGAGCTGAAGAAGCTTCTTGGAAGAGAAGCGATACGTCTTCAAAGGAAAAAAACAAGAAAGTCCAGTTGCCTCCTGAAAAAGCATCTTTGGGAAAGCTTGTAGGTTGCCAATAGAGGGCGCTACGTTCGTCGGCTTCGAAATAGGAAGCCAGGGGACTTTCTAGGAACCGGAGTTAAACAATTACTCTGGTGCCTGAAAATTGCTCTGGAGAGGAAATGAGAAGCCGGGTGTCGGGAATTTGGTAATGTTACATGCGGGACAAGAGGGATCGTTTTCTCCGGTCAGAGGGCGACCTAGGTGGGTCTCAGCTCTTTTTGGGATAAGAAAGAAAGGAAGCAAGCAAAAAGCAGAAACTGAACCCCAAGGATCCTCCCCGCAGTATAAATGGAAGGTCAGAGGCACCGGGGATCTTCTGGTGATCTCTTTTTCCTCCCCGTGGGAATTTTACTTTTTAAAAAAATGGATTGCGTTTGCACCCCTCTTCGTGCTTAGTTTTAAACAGCTATGGATGCGTGTGTGTTGCATGCTAAGCGCCTTGTGTAACACTCAGCTTGTAGATTGACCACGCCGCTTTGTACAAGGGGAGCCCGAGCTATAATTAGGTTTTCCCATGCTGTGTAAAAGTAAAGGGAGCGAGCAGATCGGCGTGAGAAACTCAGAGAAGATACGAATCTGTTTCCGGCATGGCCTGTGGGGAAATCACCGGCGATTTGCCTTGCTTGGTTCCTTAATATAAGACGTGTTCAGGAAGCATCTTGTGGTTATTGCCTTAAGATAAGATTATGCACTTTTATTTTGGGCGACAATGGAGCCCGACATTTCTGTGGCTGAGACAGTGGAGTTTTGCCCCCGTTTTGTGGCCTTTCCTGCCACTGTTGTTAAGTGAATCGCTGCACTTGTTAAAGTAGTAAGATGGTAGTTAATTGAATCTGGCTTCCCCTTTGACTTTGTCTGACTTTGTCCCCTTTGACTTTGTTTGACTTTGTGGGCCCCCACCCCCACAAAAGGTGATCCCATGATCTTGGGCCACTGCACCATCATAAGTATGAATTAGTAGCCAAGTGTCTGGATTTTGATCACGTGTGAAAAATGGTCATAAGTCACTTTTTCAGTGCTGTCACTAAACAAACTGTTGTAAGTCGAATAGAACCTGTGTCAAGTGCCTGGACAAATCCCTTCAGTTTTCTTGGCAAGATTTTTGAAGGTGAATTGCCCTTGTCTCTTCCTTCTCCCTAAAATTGAGAGTAGGACAGGACTAGAAGTCATAGGCTTCTATATTCTAGCCTGATGCCTTAACCCAGGGGTGTCCAAACTTGGGAACTTTAAGACTTGTGGACTTCAATTCCCAGAATTCCCCAGCCAGTATGGCTGGCTGGAGAATTATGGGAGTTGAAGTCCGCAAGTCTTAAAGTTCCAAGTTTGGACACCCCCTGCCTTAACCTCTGCACCAGTGGTCCCAAACCTTTCCAGCCTGACGGCCTGTGAGTGGGAGGGAGGGATGGTTTTGTGTAAGTGGCAGGTGCACATGCAAGCGCCACTCTCACATGAGGCTTTCGTGAGCGAGCATGAGCAGCCAGCAGTCACACAAGTAGAGCTGTGTGTGAGCGGCCACTAGTGGTGCAAGTGGAGCTGTGCGCACACATGGATCACCCATTGCTTGTGCGACCATGTTCCGAACACTCTGTGGCCTGGAGGTTAGGGATGACTGCTCTACATCAAACTGGCTATGTTTAGGTTGGGTTTTTTTTTTGTGTGTTAAAAAAAACTGCTACAAGTCAGTTTGTTTGACTGGATAGCTTAAAATTTCAAAACAATAAACAATAAAAACAATAATATCCAAAATCAATATACATAGGAGCTAAGGTAAATAAACTGTTGAGTTAACACTAAAGCCAAAAAAGAGGGATTTAGCACATTCAGTACTCCAGACTCCTGGAGACAGCTAGGTTTTTAAAACCTTACAATAGGCCCAATAGAGTTATGCCCATTCTTTTGAGAGGATGACTCTGAGTAGGTGTAAGATTTTATTATACTGGTGCCACTGACTAGGCTATATACCACTTTAGTGATTGCAGAATTTTATTATTTTGCGGCATGTAAATTGGGGTCCCTTTTCGCTCCTAGGGATGACTTATCAATCGCTGTACAGGTAGTCCTCCACTTTCGACTGCAATTGAGCCCAAAATGTAAAATGTATTTGTTAAGTGAGTTGCCCCATTTTATGATTTTCTTGCCACAGTTGTTAAGTGAATCACTGCAACTGACAAGTTAGTAACCTTGTTGCTAAGTAACTCTGGCTTCCCCCATTGACAGAAGGTCGCAAAAGGAGGCCGTGTGACCTTGAGCCACAGCGACGGCCATAAAAATGAACCAGTTGCCAAGCATCTGAATTTTTGATCACATGATCATGGAGATGCGGCCAAGGTCGTAAGTGTGAAAAACGGACATAAAATCACATTTTTCAGTGCCATTGTTACTTTGAATGGTCACTAAATGAACTGTTGTAAGTCAAGGACAACCTGTATATTGTTTCAGTGGGAACTTATAAACCTCACAAGTGCTATCTTTTGACGTATTCTGATTCCAGGATTCCAAGTTACAACTTGATTTGGTTTTCTTTTGGGAAGATGAGACGTAGGGTGATGTAAGCCGGGATGAGAAATACATGTGAGAAGGGATTATGTCATTCATAGGATATTCTACGAATGCTGAGCTTCCATATTAAATTGTCATGAGTTATAGAGCTGGTTTTAATTTGAATGGATTTGGCAATGAGTAATCCTCTTTAAAACGCCATCCTACTCCCACGTACGCACCCTGTTAATGGCTTATGCTATATTTACAACAGTGATTTACTTAGGATGGGGATAACAAAATCTGAAGTCTAACAGAGCTGGAGCGCATCGATTTGGCAAAGACGGCTCTTTAGTGGCAATTCCTAGATCAGCAAGGTATGTCAAGACCTGGAACCCTACTTCCTGCCTTGGCTAAATTATTTAGTGTTTTAGATTAATCTCAAGAGAATGAGGATAGTAACAGAATAAGAGAGTTGGAAATGACATTAGAGGTCTTCTAATCCAACCCCCTGCACAAGCAGGAGAGCCTATACCATTTGAGACACATAGTTGTCCAGTCTTTTCTTAACAACCTCCAATGATGGGGCACCTACACCTTCTGAAGGCTAGCCTTTCCCCTGGTTAATTGTTCTCACTGGTAGGAAATTTCTCCTTAGTTTCAGGTTGCTTCTCTCCTGGATTAGTTTCCATCCATTGCTTTCTTATCTTGCCTTCTGGTGCTGTGTATCTCTTCTTTAGATACAGATGAACAAGATTGTAGGTCATCTAGTCCAACACCCATCCAAGCAGACCTTGCACCATTTTTGACAGATGACAGTCCAGTCTCTTCTTGAAAGCTTCCAGTGATGAAGCTCCCACAACATCAGAAGGCAAGCTGTTCCACTGGTTGATTGCTCTCACTGTCAGAAAATTTCTCCTTATTTCCAGGTTGAATCTCTCCTTGTTCGTTATTCCTTGCCTGGCCTTCAGGTGCTTTGGAAAATAGCTTGACACCCCCCCCTCCTCTCTGTGGCAGCTGCTCAAATATTGGAACAGTGCTATCATGTCACCCCTACTCCTTTTGCCACTAGGCTAGTGAAAAGTAGCAAGTGTGAAAAATAAAGGAAAAAGAATAGTTCAGTTGTCTACTGAATCCAGTTTTTCTTTGTTGAACCAAATTTCAATTGCGTGGAGAAGTTATAGTTTGCCAAGGCTTTGTGTGATGACTGGCACTGTTAAGTGAGAGTGGATTTTGAAGATACAAGTCAATGAATATAAATTAGGGCTATGCAGGGTGTTGGATTTGAAGGCAGGTGGGTTTTTTTCTGGCACATAGGTATGTTTATATCCTCTTTCAGCAACTTCTTATATTAAATGAATGTTCTTCCAAGTTCGTGCTACCGTTACTGAAGGAGCCATTCTGCTCCCCAAAAAGGATGCAGCTGCTTTAATTAGATGCCAACAGAGGCTGTGTGAGCAACTTCATAATCTCTTCTTTTTGAATCCAAACTCCATACTCCTATGGTAAATCTAGTACTACACTGTATAAGATGTTTGAATGT